TGCCCCAAACCTTGCTTGCAGCTGGCCCAGTGCCCTTTACTGCTGGGCGTTCAATCAAGTTTTCAAGACAAATGATGAAAGAGGTGGAGACTCGGCTTGTTCATTTTTACTTTGTAAAAAGTCTATCTGTGAGGCTTTGCATTTACACCTGTGCATCATCTGTATCACTTTTCCCACTTGTGTTTTCAGGATGTAGGTGGCTATGCCCAGGTTGTTTGTGTACATGTCAATTTATACTTCTTCAAGCAGTTATTCACCCTCTGAGTGTTCTTTCATTTTGTAATATTAAAAAATAGCATTGATTGATCAGAAGCAGTTACATGCTCTGAAACCTGAGTCTGTACATGCTACAGGCAATACAGCCAATCATAGGGAGGAAGTAATAAACAGATTGAAATAGCAACAAAATAACAGCCTACCCTATTTTCAAAAACATACAGTACTGATCTTAAGAAAATAAGTAACAATGTAGTTAAGCAACCCTGTGATGCATGCACAGGATAGGGTCCTGTGACCTTCCCTGTAGTCGGGCCCCCTGCCACTCAGGGCTGGGACTGCGAGTCGGCACTGCCCAGGAGTCCGGAAGCTGGCAGCTGCTCTGCCCACACACTCTGTGGACTGGCTCCATAAGTTAACGTTTTCCCCACTTGGAGTTCAGAGTGCCCTCTCCACATGCTGGAGTCTCCTGGTGTCAAAGGCCCAGCCCAATGCCTCCCTCCAGGAGGGTTTACCCTGCCCCTGTCCGGCTCCCCAGCACAGCACCTCCCTGTCACTCTCACACCATTCGTCCCAGATGCCTCTATTACCAGGCACACCACATTGTGGGGATTAAGCTCATCTTCATCTCCCCAAGAAGAACTCCAGTTCTCGAAGGATAGATCAGAGCCCCACCTCGGCCCCTGGAGCGCACCATGCTCAGCTCGGTTCCCAGCACCTGAGTGGAGTCTGGTCAGGTCTGCTGAACATATGCAAACATAACTAATGCAAATGGGTAGTTTTGAAATCAATGAGTCCTTTTGTTAACTTTGTAAGGCGCCAGCACAGCAACACCAGCTCCAGGCTGAGTGACATCTACTCAATTATGGCTAACGAGGTCCTGTCCCTCTGAGGGTTCCAGTCACTAAAAAGCTTAGAGGACTTGACTGTGGAAGCTGTTATTCATCACGTCTCCTTTCCCAGTGTCCACATTGCATTCTACTCTGCATTATGGGATCTATTTGGATTTGTCTCAAATAATTCACTCAACAAGCAATTATTGGGCAACTCTCTGAGAGGCTGAGATCAATGGGTGGGCCACGCTCCAGCTGCAGGGACAACAGCTGCAGGAGGCTGACTCACGCCTCGACCTCCAAGCTGAGTGCTGAAGGATCCGGACAGGACAGGAGGCAGCCCTCCTCCCCAGGGCTCATGAAGCACAGGGACAGCAGCACCAGGAAAGGCCTGGACAGGGTGCAACTTGGCATCTCAGAGGAGAGAATGGGGACCGGTGTGGCCGCAGTGGGATGGAGATGGGGCAGCCACAGTGGCAGGGGAGGAGATTCCAGCCAGGCCAGGCTGAGGTGTGCAGTCTGTGGTGGGTCCTAGGGCAATGGATGCCATGGGGGTGTGGTGAGTGTGCGGAGAATGGCGTGAGTCTTACACAGATGATGGTGCAGCTGTGGGAGACGGCTGCAGTGTGCACAGCCAGGAAATGTGCAAATGTAGAGGCATGTTGCCAGTTCATGAGGACCTTTGGGAAGCACTTGTTAACTGAAGAATTTAGTTAGTTGCACTTCAAAAATATTCTAAATGTCTTATTCTGAAATATACATTCAAAGGACTCAATGAAACATGCGCGTGCTACTAAAGACCAAAGGAGAAGGACATGGAGAAGCCGCTGTGCCCCTCCCAGCTGCACCCTGGCACCCTGGGGGGAACTGCTGTCCTGTGCTTGAGTCAGCCACGCCCAGGTTTTCTTTACACTTTTATTTCCTCTCCAAGTTTTCCTATGTGGCAGCCTGATGGCTGAGCCTCTTGGAACCATGCACAGAGGAGCTGTCCTGTGTCGCTGGAGATTCCCTCGGGCAGCACCACTGCTGGGCTCACCCTGTGCGGTGCTGCTCATGCGTCCTAGTGCCTGTCTGCAGCTCACCGTCTCCAGTGGACATGCATTTCGGATGTTGCTGATTTGGGGCCATGGTCCTGTTTCCTGTGATGGGCGAGAGTTTCACTTGGGTGCAATCTGCGGAGAATTGCGGATCCCAAGGCAGCACGGCTCTGTCCCGAGCAGCTGTGCCCAGTCGGCTCCATCTCAGGGCAGGTGGGTCCCCTCCGCCTTGCACCCAGAACAAGACTGGTGGTTTCTCCTTTTCTAACTCTGGCCAGTCTGGTGAGTGAGTGCATTTCAGTCCTTTCCACTGTGGGGTCACCTCTTTCAATCCAGTTCTCATAATTCACAAGTCTCCACTGAAATGCCTTGCAATGAAATTCAAGATCCTCTCTTTATTCATCAGTGATGTGAACCCACCCCCAGTCACATGACCGAGCTGAGCTGTGCCCTGGCGGCTGTGTGGGGAGGCCCAATTCCTTCACACTGTTCCATTTTGGTGAATGATGCTGTGGAATTGGAACTGAAGCCACATAAAAGATTTTAAAAATGTTCCTGTAACACACACAAACTGAAACGAAGCTTAGTAAAAGGGAGAAAATAGGCTTCAACCAGGCCAGAGGGTGGGTGTCTGACGCAAACCAGCTGCTGCTGTTTGGGTCAGTTCCTTCCAGCCACGTTGCTCTTCAATAGCATCCCTGTGGGCAGGTCCCCCCCACCCAAAGGCACCCACTGGCTTTGCTGTCCTCTCTTCTCCTCTCAGACCCAAGCTGGCACCCTAACACGCTCCCCTGATGTTCCCGTCCTGTCCCCATCCTTCTAGGTCTTGTTGAAATGAGGCATAAGAAGCTCCCTTGACTGGCAAAAAATGCCCAAAGACGTAGTATAAATGAAGACATATAAAGTATTTTCATTTTCATTACATAAAACACAGGCTCTAATTCCTTTCCCCATTGATGCAAAACTCGGTGCCACAACATCGTGAGCAGAGGATGCACTCTTCACTGGAAGAAAGAAATGCCAGAAGTTTCTTTTCATCAGTGTGTGTGCATGACAAACAGAGTTAGTTATTTTTAACAGAAAGGAAGTATCCAGAAGCTTTCCATGCAGAAAAAGCTCCACAAAATACTACAGAGAATTAACATAGAGATTCATCACTGTCACCATTGTTTAGGATACGACTGAGGTAGATAAATGTATAATTCATATTTTCTGGAAGGTAGAGTGATAATGAGACCATAATGCTTGTGTTTTTAGAAAATTCAGGTCTGTCCCCACCCCTGGCATTAATTGGTAACACAGTTATTAGAACCATTATCTGGCATCGCTGCTGTTCTTTGTTCTGGGGCCTCACTGGCTCATGCGTGATCTGGTTTCCTGAGGAAGGCAGGAGAGGCTGTGCGAGTAGAGGGACCAGGTTGAACAGATGTACGGATGCCACAGTGCAGGGCTGGTGGAGGAACCGCATTGGGCAGCTCGGCCTGCTCAGAGCCCGGGGCAGGAGATGTGCATGAGTCCGAAAGGGGCCAGAGAGTTCCATCTGAGCAATTGTGGGTTATGGAGAGCCTTTGTCCTCACTGGGCAGGTTGGTTTCCAAGAAACAGACTCAGCCAGGTCACCACAGCAGAGGGTGGGGTGCTCTTGGAGAAGATGGGGCTCCCTGCCACCCAGGCCTCTGCTTTTGCCCAGCTCTCCTCATTCTTGCTAGCCACAGCTCCCACTCGACCCCATGGCTCCTTTCAGCTTTGTCTGCTTATCCAGCCCCTCCCAGCAGAGGGGTGTGATGATCCTGGGGGACAAGGAGGGACGTGGCAACAGGACAGTGGTGGCCTCTCCTTCTCCGCCCCAGTAGTCAGGGTTTCCAGCCTGGATCCAGATGTGAACTCTACCAAACATCAGTGCCCTGTTATCCTAGTCAGCAGATCCTGGGCACGAAATCCTGGTTTTCCTATTATAAGAACTAATAAAATCCAGTCTTCGGAGCTCTTTATGGATAAAACTATATAAGTAACGAGGCTGCAGTATTAACTACTTAACTGAAGGTGAACAAGCGTGTTTGCGGAGGTCAGCGCAGAACTCTGTGCAGTCCTAGCATGGCCCCCTCTCCTTCTCTGGCATCAGACTTGGGAGAGAGAAGAGAAGGGTATGGAGGGAAAATAAGCAGGAGATAGGAGGTATGGGGCAAGAAGAAATTCTAGAACCAGATGCATCTGCTTAGAAGTGAGAAGAGAAAGCAGGCATGCCAGCAGGAGACCGACACGTCTCCAGTCTCGGCTTCTGCCCCCCTAAGTGCGCAGGTCTTAGGCCACCTTGAGTTTTGAAAGAAAATCTCTATTTCCTCTAGAAGCAAATGCTAAGAACAAGAAAACTCCTTAGAACAGGAATTCAGACTAAGCTAAATATCAATCTAGTTGTTTTCAAATACAGTTTAAAAATTTTCTGTGTTTGCTTTCACTTTGAACGACTGAAGCGTTTATAAAAGTCAGAGCGGCCCTTACACAAAGTAACTCCTGGGTTTGTTTGGGGGTGAGGGGAAGCGAGTGTCAGCACCACCTCCGTGGGGAGGGCAGCTAAGAAAATGGCCTGACACCTGGCGGGTCACGGGAAGAGCACACCGGGACCACATTGTTTCTTACGGAGCCCCCTAGAAATTACTCCATGCCAGGACTGAGCAGACACACACCACTCCTCCACAGCCACCAGAGCCAAAGGTCATAAAAATCCACAGAGGCCCAATGAAACGCAGCTCAACATTGAAGCACCAGCACCATGAACCAGGCTCATGGCCCACCGGGGAGGACGGAGGGGCAGGGAAGGAAACAGGAGCTATGTTCATGTGGTCCCCACATCGCAGGTTTCCACGGTCCTTTTCTGGGCTCCCAGTAAGGTTTTCTGAACACTTCTCTGTCTACAGGTTTTGTCCTGGTCATTGGGCTGGTGACGTTCTACAGAATCGGCCCGTATACCAACCTGTCCTGGTCTTGCTACCTGAACATTGGCGCCTGCCTTCTGGCCACTCTGGCAGCCGCCATGCTCATCTGGAACATTCTTCACAGGAGAGAGGACTGCATGGCTCCCCGGGTGATTGTCATCAGCCGCTCCCTGACTGCACGGTTTCGCCGTGGGCTGGACAATGACTATGTGGAGTCACCATGCTAAGGGTCCCCAGAGAGAGGCTTGCTCAGGAGTTTATCCACTATAACGCAACAGTCTAGAAACCAAAGGACTGCCTGTGCAGAGGCGGGCGATTCGTATGGTTTCCTATATATAAATATGTACGATACACAGGTATGTTTACTATGTTATATATAAATATATTATATGATCATATTATCGTCTGTGCCACTCTCCTTCTGACATGCCCACAACTCGGCTTCACACCCTCGCACGTCCAAGGACAAGACCAGCACCTGAGATGCATGTAAGGAGGCGGGGGCCACCTTGCTCTGCACCTTGGTCTGGGATTAATTTATTCTGCATCTGCTGAGAGGGGCATCCTCAGTCATATTTACTTTGGTAAAGCAGAGGATCTGGGAAGATTTTCTTGAACTGTCCGTGATCTTCCTGGACTGAGTTTATAGCCAGACGGTTATAGCTTTGTGACAGGGTTGTGTTAGTAATGTCCGTTTGCTCCTGATTATTTTTCTAAGTTAAAATAAAATGCAAACCTCTTAATACTGTCTAAAACTTGTGTTTTATCCATTTACACTGCCACATGGGTGACAAGAATTGGGTCTATTTTCCTTCATTTTTGTAGGCTGGCAGTAAGAGAAGGGTTGAAACATTTTGAAGACCCAGTGGGAGTGCAGCTGGGGTCACTCACGACCTTATTCATGTTTCCACTCAGCTGAGCCTCCGACTCCATGTTCCTGCAGACTCTGGACACTGTGGCTGTGTGACAGCAGAACCACAGTTGGCGGAGTAAGAGGGAGAAAGTCTATTTGTTTAAAAAAAATTCAGAGAGCTTGGTTCACTTTTTCCCCTAGAAAAATCTTCAACCTATCTTCGGCAAATGCTTGGTGGGCCACAGAAGGCCTTCAGGATACTGCAATGACTCCACACAGCCCAGGTCTGAACCTGTAAGAGGTGGGTAAGCCATAACTCCCAGGCTGAACAGAAAACACCTGAGAGCTGCACCCCAGGGCTGCAGACTGGCCCACGCCCCCACGGACCTGAGACTGGGGACCACTTGACCACATCCATAAGGACAGTCCTCTAACAGCATCCAGCCCGGACACTCCCTGTGCACTGCACTGCTTGACCCACACCACCCGGAGGCGGGAGTCACTGTTGCCATCCTCCAGCCCAGGAAACTGACACTGAGAGCGGGTGGGCAGAGCCAAGGTCAGACCCCAGGCCAACTGGCTGCCCACCGGCACCAGGCTGACTCTTCTAAGGAACATTTAGCTTTGTTGCTTTAAACCTTCCAGAGAACGTGAGGTGACCAGCCTGGAATTTGAAGCTCATATCATCCCAGGAATTTGTCTTTAGTCAGAACAAATGGTGGCTTGAGGTTGGTGCTTTAAAAAACATCAAGCAATTGAGAATGATTCAGAAGCATCTGCAGCCTGACCATCTCCAATAAACTGAGCACACAGGTAGAAATAACCAGACTCCTATCCCACAGCCAGCACACTCACGAACATTTAGGTCTGACCTTCCTCCCTCTGAGCTTCTTTCCTACACTGGATTTCCCCCTCCAATCATATGCTAAAAATAATTGTTTTCTAAAAGAATAATGAGATATTTAAGATGTACAGTTTTAATAAAATTATGTATATGACTATACATGTACACTAAAGTTTTAAACTTGGCCATGTAGTCAACTACGGTCTGTGATTGTGTTTATATGAAAGGAGACGTGGTCAGAGAAAGCCTGGCTATGCCATCCAGTGCTCTGCTTCACATCCTAAACTAAGAGTCCTCCTGCTCATGTGGCCAGTGAAGAAAAGGCCCTTCCAACTGGAACAAGGTTTGGCTGTGCTGTTTAGAAACAACACAACGGACTAGGGGTCATGTGCTATCTTGATGTGTTACAGACACCATCACTGCAAATGAGGGGCTTGTTCCAGGCAACTTAATTTCCATGTTGCTCTTCCCAACCTAGTCTCATTCTTCAACAATTTTTCTACTCTTTGGAGACTAAAATCTGTCAAATGCTCTTGGGAAGAACTGCTGAATTCTCTCAGGAACAGAGAAGAAGCTGCTTGCAGACAGCCCTTGATTGAAATCTTCTTTTAGAGCAATTTTGGGTTTTCACTATACTGTTTTGAGTGTTTACTATCCAAACCTTTTCTGTTTGGTAGCAATTATTCCCAGAAGGACAGGTATTACAAATATTTAGCAACTGCAGAACTTTTGACTAGGAAGTCTCCAGAACACTTTAAAATAAATCAAAGCAACTAAATAATAGCCCAAGAGGCTCCAGCACTGCAGAGGCTGAGACCTGGGCTCACCTGATCCCCACGCCCAGCTGTGTTGCGCCAAAACGCACCTCTGCGCACACCATGCCAGGTGCATCCTGGCATCTACAAGCGTAGCAGCATTTCATTGAGTGAAAAGACCGTGAAACGTACCATAATGTACCCACAGCAAAGTTAACGATTCATAGACTCCCATTTAGAAGGGGAAGAGAGACACAAAGAAAGTCAAGAATCTAAGAGGCATGCACATTCCTTCGACGCCTCAGGGAATGGAATCCTCACCTTTTGATGAGCTTGATCGATTTGAAAGCTTCGTCCATGTCTCCAACGGTGACAAAGAAGCTGAAATTGAGCATCGCCTCCTGAGTGGGCTTGTCGCAGTCCTCCAGCCCAACGAAATCTCGCAGGGGTCTCCGGCCAACCATCTGGGGGATGCCACAGTACCCTGAATCCACCCAGTCCTCTCTGTCTTCTTCTCCTGGCTGAGGGACAAAAGGCACCACTTATTCATCAATTCACGTAAAGCTAATGCCCACACTAAGCCTCTTCCTTGAGATACAGGTCAGCGATGGGGGTCCCTCGGCAGACAGACATGGATATGCAGCAACAGGCCCTGCCAAATTCAGTAGTCCCTGCCAAATGCAACGAGACTTGGTCATCATTCCAAGTCATCAGAGCTGTGGCTCTGGTTTCAGACAGCAGATGAACAAGGTGGTCCACATGTAGGAACCAGTCTTTTAGCCTCTAATGCACTAACGTCAACATTTCAACAGTTAAAAGTGGCTATGAAAGTTACCACCTCCCAGGTTTGTTTTGTAGAGTTTTTTTACTGTCAAGTCAGACAAGCATACATATGTGCAAGTTAAAATTAAGTAACGCCAGCATATTCAGGTAGAATTTTCCAAAACGAAAACCTAGATTAGTGGTGTGCCCCACCCCAGTGTTTCTTAGGAGAGCTGTCAGCTAGCGCAGGGATCTCCAAACAGATGCGTGCAGAGGAAGAGCGTCCTACGGTCCCAGCACGAGCACGATTTCACAGTGCGCCAGTCAGCCTCCTGAGGCCTTTTTATACTCGGCACCTTGAGATACAACCTCCTGAGGGGACAACGCCCTCATCCCCTCAAATGTCAGCTTCCTTCCTCCCTGCTGTGAGCTGCTCTCTGCCCACACGCCCCACCGCTCTCCTCTGGGCTGGAGACCACACACACCACCCTCTGTCCTCTTCGTCGTCTGCTTCTTTCTGCAGGTTCCATTTCTCTGATGCACATATGTTCCCCTGTGTAAAGGGGGATCGTGATCCATCCTCCTTGGACCCAGCTCCCCCAGCAAGTCACTGGTCTTGTATCTGTTGCTCCTCTGTGACTTCTTCAAGGCTGGCTTCCACCCTCTGCCTCCTGGCTCAGTCTCCAGCAGCTCCTCCATCTCACTGCTCCTTCTGAAGTTCACCGGCAGTTCCCATCTTCAATGGGCACTTGACCTGGGCCTTGAAACACTGCTAGGATTTGTCAGACCCAGGTGTGGATGGTGAGACCCTTCTAGGCACAGAGCAGAGCATAAACAAAGGACCCGCAGCAGCCCACAGTCCAGGGCAGCTTAAATTTAGGGTTGGGGGCCATGTGCAGGCTGGGTCACACCAGGCAGGAGGCTGAGTATTGGACAGTTTGGACTGATTTTGCGTTGAGTGGGAAACCTTCAGAAAATGTGCACACACAAAAATGACCGGGGGAGTTGCTGCCTGCTGTGTCTTACTCAACAAAGCACAAGGCAAGTGGCCTGACTTCCATCAGCCTTGCTATGGATCTGATCCTGAGTTCTAATCAGAACTCCACACACTGTGAGCATACTTGGGAAGTCTCACAGAAACAACAGCACCTGTGGGTCATGCTTCACCATGCCGCCTACCCCACACACTTGCCTCTGCTCTCATTTTGGATCCTCAACACAGCTCTGTGAGAGAGGGACTGAGCCACTTGCCCTGGTCACACTCGGGAGCTGGGGACCCAGGGCAGTCTGACTCTCAACCACACCCTCTAGTATGCAGACAGGGAACCTCTGCGATGCTGGGCCAAGGGACTTGAATACAGGTCAGTAAACTGAAGAAGGGCAGCTTTTAAAGAAACAATGTTTTACGGCTAGAAGTCAAATTAATAAGACTTCCTATACTGCAAACACAGGTAAAGGAATTATTTCCTGTACTATAGACATTGGGTGACAGACTGTTCATGCCATACGTGGAGCCAGGACGAGAGCTCTACTGAGCAACGTGGGCATGCTGCTCCAGTAAAGGAAGCTGACACTGTCTCAGGCTCCTGACAAACCTGGTTAAAGAGGATCTGCAAGCTACGTGGGAGGATCAGTGCATAGATAACTGTAGCTCAAAATAAAGAAAAAGATCCTGGGAAAACTGCAAAGTGAAGGTGACAGACGGTAAGCAGGGAGCTGTACTTACTACGTCATTACACATGCCTCCCGTCCGGGACAGCTATGAGAGTGGGCACAGAGGGAGACGAGGAAGAGAGAAAGAAAAGATGCACAAATGTGTGCGAGAAACCAAAGTCCATAACGTACAAATAATGGGGGACACTCATCAGAAAGAATTTAAATGCTCTCACAACTTTTTTGAGTTCTCAAATCGAAGGGAAATGAAAATGCATAAGGAGCACTAAATAAGAATGAAATTCAGGAAAATGTCAATCTGCTGGTACTAATCCATTTAAAATAAGGGAATTACTCTATCTTTATCAACAGAGCTCAGGGACTCCAGAATTTGGAAATCATATGAACCCATTTCCAATCTTCACAAAGGTGATTCGATTTTAACACAA